ATTCCACCCAAAAGGTGGGTGTGGATAGGAACTATCAAAAGTCCCTAACTCAGACTAATCGCGGCTCAAAACCCTTCTTCTTGAGACGGACACTCTCCAAGACTCCTCAAAACTCTCCTCTTGAGTTTGATTTTCCGGCAGTTTTTAGCTTCAAGTAATTCGCTGTGAAACCATTGATTCGCTGTGGACTTTACTATCTTCAGAAGAACCAGAGGAAAACCTCCAGCTCACTCCTAAAAGAACTCATCAAGAACCTCCTTTGTCTTAAGGCATCAGGACTCTTGTTCAGCAACAAAGCCAATGCAAGTAACCGTTTACAACTATTTAGATGCGTGTTTAAGTTTGAGCCCCTTTTTAAGGTGATTTTTGATTCTCTGATGATTCTCATTAGGTTGTGGTTAATTGATGTGAAATACTGCCATTCTTTTGCTCTTCTCTCTCTTTTCGTTACTCTCCTTCATTCTGTATATATGTGTTTTGCTTAATTTAGTTGTATGTTAGCTATAGTTTCATGTATTAAATCCCTTATATTCACAATTGATTGTCTCTGTGTGCTGCTCACAATTCGGAGTCACTGAATGTTGATCCTTGCTTCATGCTAAGTGACTGCTAGTACTGCATAAAGTGGAAAAACTATTCTTCCTTGGCCAGGAAAATAATCTTTCCTAGAATTGATAAATGATTATATTGTCTGCTCGGTGGACGGACAGATCAAATAATTGTAATATTGATTCTGCTACAATTAATTCTAAGATTGAATCTAAATATTCATTATTAATTATAACCATTTATAATTAATCATAAATATTCCCTTTTGAGCTAATTTGCTACACCTCAAAACAGTGATTGCTTCTTATGTTGGTGATCAACATCAGCTATGGGACAAGTGGATTCAAGAGTTCTGTTATTCACTTAACACCGCATGGCATGAGAGCACAGGTTTTACTCCTGCAGAAGTTGCATTGGGATGGAAATTGAAAGAAAGAGCCATTCACAAACCACCTGATCCAGACGACCTTACCTACTCACTTATCGACAGACAACAACAACTTATCAACTTGGTCAGAGCTAATGTTGAACGAGCTAAGGAGAAACAGAAAAGATATTATGATCAACGCCGTAAACCAGTTCAGTTTCAGGTGGGAGATGTGGTTTGAGTCCGGACCCATCCTCTTTCCAGAGCTGACAAAAGTGTATATGACTAAGTTGGTAGCGAAATGGAAGGGTCCTGCCAAGGTGGTAAAAATACTTGGGTACGTCAATTGTTCTCTAAGTTACTTTGATGCCTCTGATGTTGTGGAAACTGTGTATGTACAAAATTTGAAGCCGTGTTATGGTTATAGTCAGCCTCTTTCTGAGGGGAGGGGTGTGTAACAGTCTTGGCCTGTCACAGTATTTCCTTTTTCATATGTAAAGTTACTACCTGTCACTAGGGGGAGTATGGTGCTGGGGGCTTTAGTATAACTGTGATGTAATGATAGAAGAAGTCAGATTGAACACTTCTTGCGCCAGTGTAAAAAAAAATAATTTCTTTCTTTCTTATTAATGGGGTGGGGTGGGGGTGTTAGAAAATGTTAAGAGATAGAGGAAATGTTTCTGATCCAAGCTACCTGATGATGGTAGTAATGCACTGTTAAGTGCGGTTGCCAGTAAAAGAAAGAAGAAGAAGAAGACGTCAGATTGTTTGGTGCTAGCAGCATGGCTCATGGTTCTTACTGAGAATCTAAAGGATTTTCTGCTCAGTTAATAAGGACTCTTTAGTCTTTGCTATCTATACCCAAGGAGGGTTATTCACCAAAGGAGGTTTAACCTCAGCACTTCATACTCCCATCCTGTTTGGGATGCTTCTTTGGTCGATGTTCTAGGACTAATGGATGATTGTACCCTGGGTATTTGATGGATTGTGATGGACTAACTTTATCTACACCAGCTCAACGCATTTCAACATTTTTTTATCTTCATTTATCTGCAACATCAAGGATTTACAATGTAGGTGGACTAATCAGATAAGACAATTTTTGTTTTTCTCTTATGTGCAAGTGTATTGAATATGTGATGTTCTTCACATCTGATTTTTGTGTGTTTATGTGTGAATGCATACCTTGTGTCCAGTGTTGGGCAGTAACTAGTTACTAGTAACTTAGTTACTGTAATAATATTACTTTTTGCAGTAACTATTAGTGTAACTAATTACTAATAAGATTTCAGTAATAATATTACAGTTACCATCCATAAAACAGCCTAGTTACTTAGTTACTTTTGATGCCTCAACCCCGCTGATTTAAAATCCAACAATCAAATAATTCCTAGATTTATTTTCATAATTTGCATGACTCGCACATGCATGTGATGTCCTCAGTGCAGCAGACCAGCTTGGAATATGGAAAAGCTTACATTCAGCAGATAGAAATATTGCATTATATTGATTTTGTCAGGAAAAAAGATGATCTGAACACTGTGTAAGTTGTGGCTTTACTTTACTCTGGCATTACATCTCACACACATCCCTCTGATCAGCATGTGGTACATTATATAATTAAAAATCTTTTTGGAATCTTTTTGGCAGTTTCTTACAAACTTATGTGATTTGATAAAATACATAATGAACGCTTCAAGCTACACATGACAATTAATGAGTTTAATACAACATTTCTACTTGAATGTCCCTATCAATTACTATTGAGTGTTTGTAATAACTTCTGATTCGTTGGGCTATACTGTATATGACTTGTTTATGGAATTATACATTCCTTTTTTGCATCTATTATTTGTCTTATTGTTTGAATTTACACAGATCCAATTCTAACTTTGCCGGTGGTTCCCTCCCTTATATTAATTATGTGGCAGGTAGTTTGGGTTTAAAATTCCAGGAGATTTGTTACAGATTTATCTCATCCACCTGCAATTAATTAGAATTTATTTTTTTAGGGATGCACAAAATGTATGACGACTGAAATTATTCGGCCGAAAATGCAAATAAGCAAAAAGACCAAATAAATTCTACCGAACAATGACATTTTTGGTGATGCAATCAAATATCAACCAGTATAGAGTGAGAGGCGTGCACGCTTTATAATGCAGCAAACATGTCAGCAGTGTGGAAGCATTTAAAACTGCCCGAGAAAGATGCAAAAATCATTAAAAGCACTGACAACGAGAGATTGTACTGCATAGCCTGTCTTCCATGAGAAGAGGAAGGGGTGGTTGTTGCTGAAATCGCAAAATTTCCTTAAACAATTAGTAAATAAACTGCAGAATGTTGTTTTGTAATACACACACCAATTGCTTGTATTCTGATTCCTTCTATCTGCTTGTTAGCCAGGGTTTAAAGGGGTCATATGATGCGATTTAAATTTTTCCTTTCTCTGAAAATCTGCGCTGAGTTACTGAGTTAAAAAGAAGCAGTGAGATCTTCCTGCGGGTTTCCACCAAAATAAAAGCTGAGAAAAAGCAAGAACTCCATCAACATTCATAAATGTTAGTATTGTAATTTTACTGTTTCTTCTGTAAAATAAAATAAAAAAACTAAGACAATAATAATGATAATAATAATTGTAACAGCTCTATTAATACATTTATTATAACATTCAGACATAGTGTTCAAATTGGGATTTGTAATATTTTCTAATGTTTTAAAAGACGTATTTTCTACTCAGCAAGGCTGCATTTATTTGTACAGTAAAAAACAATACAAAAACAGTAATATTGTGCAATATTATTACAATTTTAAATAACATTTTGTATGTGAAAATATAGTAAAATATAATTGATTGGTGTAATGTCAAAGCTGAATTTTCAGCATCATTACTCCAGTCTGCAGTGTCCCTGGACCTTTCAGAAATCATTCTAATATGCTGATTTGCAGTTCAGAGTGTCCAGTTTTCCTTTTTTGTCTTTAGCCAATCACATGCCTGATTCAAGAAGGGGATCTCAAAAATGGCCTTTTTTCTTTTTACTAACTTATTAATTTTAAGTTAAATTGTGCTGTGTTGGTATAATGTCTGCTAGAATGTTAAAACATGTTCAGTGTTAAATAAGTATACTTAAAATTATGATTTTTGTAATGGACTTTTTATTTGAAAGCAAGACAAAACAGTAAAAAAAAAAAATTTAAAAAAAATGCACATTTTAGCTATTTAATTTATGCAATAGTGAAAAAATGGGCAAAATACACGGGAGTAAAAAAACGCAAAAAAAAGGTGTTCGTAATTTGGCCCAGTGTATCATTTTGTTCGGCTTCAGTCAAGAATCTTCATTTAGGTGCTTCGCTATTTTTATTGTTTTTGTTTATTTTACCCGACCCGTGGATATATCCATGCATCACTAGTTAGGGGTTTGTTTCAAAATTGTGTAAACAACCAGCTCTGTGATTGACATAACCAATGATATCTTTAGAACTGGCCGTGGGGAGGGTTTTGCATTAAGCTGGTTTGGGGGAAAAATCTATTCTTTTTTTCTTTTTTCCCCCTTCATGCTGTACTTCTATTTGTCAGGGAAATTACACAAGTCTTAAAATTTTGAAATGTTACTGTGTACATTGATATCACAAGAGAATCTCTAGCAAGAACTATTTTCAGTCCACTGTGTTCTATTTTCTTTTAATTTCCACTAACTATTTGGGAAAAAAAAAAACTGTGCTCTTGTCGTACTCTCCTGATTTAATGCACATATCCCATAAATAATTTACTGGAATGCACTAAGAATCCCTTGTTTATTAGTATATTATGATCATATATAGGACATTACCTTCAGGAGGAAGAGTGTAGCGAGCATACTCTGGGAAATAATCTTCAAGTTTGGATTTTCCTGCCAGTATCTTTTCTGCCAGCATGTCCTGTTTGTTCAGGAATAAGATCACTGAGATGGTCCTTAAAAACCTGTATGAAAACACACAAAGTGAGACATGCCTTTATATTTCTATATCTGCTGACATTTCTTTTTAAAGATGTCCAGCTGCAGCTTTGAGCCATTCTTGATATGCCACTTTAAAGGGATAGTTCACCCAAAAATGAAAATTACCCCATGATTATGACCCTCAAGCCATCCTAGGTGACTTTCTTCTTTCAGACGAATACAGTCAGAGTTATATTAAAAAATGGCTGTTGAGATTCAATAGTCCAATAGAAGTCCAATAAACTGCATCCATCATAAAAAGACCTGCACACGGCTCTGAAGGGTTAATCCTCTGCAAAAATAACTAAAAATAAACATTTTTAATCATACAGATAAGAATAAGGTATCGTTTGAAACTGCAAAGGGTCTACGTTTATATGTGAATAATCATAATAACAACAAAACAATGTGATTTTGTAAAATAAAGAGAAAAAAAACAGGGTGCACTCTCTCGGGTCTCAGTCTCTGTCATCTTTTTTCACAGACACATAAATAAAACAACCTGAACCTCAGCGAATACTTACCTCACATACATGAGAAATATATGTATAGAAAGCTTGAAATATCTTTTAAATGAAGTAAGTCACGTCAAAAACAAATATTTTCTGATAAAGTAATCCGTATGAAACCAACATGAGGTACAGTTTTTCCCGTCTGAGTTCATTATAGGTAATGTGATCACGCCCACGAGCGGCTCCACTTTTCAAATTATGAACATCCACGTGAGATGCGCAGACATGTAAACACCCACATCACCTCCGTAAACAAAGCATGATGTTTCAAGTTCATCTCGGCTACTTTTTGTTTTTGAAAGAAGACGCGCTGAGAGGAATAACCCAGAATTTACCTCAGAAGAAGAACACGATTCGACGCGCGGCTTGATCCAGTGGAGGAGATCATTCTGATGAGTAAGATTACTTGCGTTGTTGTTGTGTTATTGTTATTCTGATGTAACTTGTACACATTTTACTAGATAGACTTTTCCCAGACTATAATTCCTGACTACATGTATGAAATCAAGTGAAACATTTTGAAATGTGTCATTTCATTGCAGCTAAATGTCTCACAACGCCAGGATGTTTTTTAATGTTCTATAAAATATAAAACCACAAGATATAAAAGTGGTATGAGTGTTTGCACTGTATGAATTACACTCTATGAATGGTAGAGTATAAGAATGTTTGGCACAAAGGTGTGTTACTGTTCAAGTCTACGTTCAAGTCTACGTGTTTAGATCAGTATGTTCAATCACGTGTCCTTGACCTTCACTTTGTATGGTTTTTATTATACTGTGTTGTTAATAAAATAAAAATAATCAAACCCCCATTATTTTACTCTCCTCACATTCTTTGTTACCTGCCTCACAGACACATTACTGACTGATGGTCCATTAGGGGCCTTTTGTCTCTCAGGTGTGAATCACTAAATTCATGGCCATTGTCACTCCCTCGTATATGGCCTTTCTAACACAAATCATGTCTCACAAAAGTTAAATCGATATACAGGTGCATCTCAATAAATTAGAATGTTGTGGAAAAATTCATTTATTTCAGTAATTCAACTCAAATTGTGAAACTCGTGTATTAAATAAATTCAATTATTTTAATTGTGATGATTTTGGCTCACATTTAACAAAAACCCACCAAGTTGGATAGCAGGATGATTTTCACATCATTTTGTAGCAAGAACTCTAGTCTACCACACCCAGTTCCCAAAAGTCTTGTGAACAAATGTTCTGTATGTGTTTTATGGTCTTATTTTAGTGACTTAAAAATGTTGGTTCCTTTCAGTCGGTCACTCTCGACGTCACGTCGGATGACCGACGAATTGGGATCTCGCTTAGAGAGACCAATCTACTTCGAGTGTAAACTAAACGAGCCAATGCACATTGCATTGGCTCGTTTAGTTTACACTCGAAGTAGATTGGTCTCTCTAAGCGAGATCCCAATTCGTCGGTCATCCGACGTGACGTCTCCGTTCCCTCCTTCAGGGAACGAGGGTTACCATACGTAACCGAGACGTTTTTCACTAACCATGCATAAACATTGTTTTCTCAAAAACACAAACAATGTACATACTGCTCACATATTATCTTAGCCCAGATCGTGCTGATTACAGTGTAATCAGACTTTAGCCATTAATATGTTTTTAAGATATTGAAAAAAAAATACTAATGTCAGGGCATGTCAAAACTTCTTCAGGGCCCCAAAAAACTCCCAGACCCCGGAGGGTTAATAAAGACTTCCTGAAGTGAATCGATGTGGGCTCCGGGGGGTGAACAAAGGCCTCCTGTAGCGAATCGATGCGTTTTTGTAAGAAAAATATCCAAATTGAAAACTTTATAAACTTTTATAAACCATAATCTCTAGCTAACTGTCATATGCGTGTTATAGTTGCATTCCAGTGGATGACATAGTACATAGGCGTATTCTCCGGTGAGAAAATGCTAGTCTTGCAAGAACCAAAGCTGCATCCGTAATCACTCACTTGTTCACTCATTCACTAATCACTATACAGTATATAGCAGCTGACTGAACTATATAAGAAAGGAGTGACATATACACTGCACATCAGAGAGCTGGAGCTGTCGCAGAAATATCTTCATCATATGTACTTTTATATTACATGTACCTTATTTTAGAAAATAATATTAATAACAATAACACTCACAATGATATTGTATCATTGTGAGTGTTATTGTTATTAATATCTCTGTACCAGCTTTGTGGTTTCATTGATGGTATATTATTAGGCCTAACTTGTTTTGTAATGCTTAAAGTGTTAGTTCACCCTAAAATGAAAATTAGGCTGTGTTTTACTCACCCCAGAGCCATCCAAGGTGTATATGACTTTCTTCTTTCAGACGAATCCAGTCGGAGTTATATTAAAAATAGTCTTTGATCTTTCAAGCTGTTTAATGCCACTCAGCGGGTGTTGCATGCATCAGTCCAAAAGAAGTTAAATAAAAAGCGCCCATCCATTAAAAAAAGCATCTCACACGGCTCCGGGGGGTGAACAAAGGCCTCCTGTAGCGAATCGATGAATTTTTGTAAGAAAAATATCCATATTCAAAACGCAATAATTACTTGAATCTAGCTTGCGCTCACTGTTGTAAACGGAAGCAGTTCCGGGCGGATGACGTATGAGGTCGGCTTTGCGCATGCGCCGCTCAGAAGTGACGCACGCGGAAACGCAGCAGAGAGATCAAAGCAAAACAACGGTCACTAATTAGAAGTACAAAACGAGGAGAAGAATGTCGGAGGATTTCGATATAAGCCAAGAGGAGACTGGTGTTCCTTTGCTAAAGTAAGGAAACTTTGCTTCCTTTGATCCTGTAAACAAACGTTGGTTTTCACGAGACTCACCGGCGCATGCGCAACGCTGACC